TTTGATATTGTGGAATATTATGTTTCTTTCAGATATATCCAAGATGACTTGCTGAGAAATTCTGAAAGGTCACAATATTTTCTAATAAGCATTTCTGGTGCTCTATGTTTTATGCTGCTAATAAGAAAATTATTCTGAGCCTATGAGGCAATATAGCATCACTTGTGTTAACCTGGATTAAACCCTGAAGGACTGAGAACTGAAAGCAGCCTGAGGTGAATCAGGGTAACAGCTAGACCTGAGTACAATGATAAGAGATATGATTAGGATTTGTCCTCTGTGAGGAAAACAGAGTGGCCATTATTTCTGTTCATAAAGGTATATGAATGACTTGGATAACAAGATTTAAGAGGTTAAGGTCATTCAGAAGAAGCATTGAATTCCTCAAAATTCAATTCAGACTGCTTGGTAGGCAGCTATGTAGAACAACAGCCTATGAAATGGTTAATTACCTCATTAACAGATTTCAAAGAAAATAGTAGTTTTATTTTTCTCTCCTCCTGCTATCTCCTGTGTGCTCTTGAATGTGCCACAACACCCAGCCAATGTGCTGCTGGGGATCCAACTCTGGGCTAAATATATGCTGGGCAAGTATTCTACCAACTAATCTAAATCCCCAGCCCTTATATCCATCTTAATAATATTATCATTCCATAAATATCATTTTTGTGTGTCATCACCACCATCATCACCATCATCATCACCATCATCATGATCATCTAATAACCAAAATTTAACAATCCTTCTAATATAGTTCATCTTAGAGGGAATCTTCTGCTTTTTCCACCTCTTAATATACCCCTGTATTCCATCCTTATTAACCTCTTAACACCAACTTTATATTTCTAAACCTTAAATGTCTTGATGATTAATCTTCATTAAAGAAGCACCATTTTTGCAGTAGATAGTAATTAATGTAAAGACCTACAACTGGTCATCATGAAAAATAGGAGTTTATGGAGTTGTGAGTCCTAAATGGAACATCTGTATCACACACCTTACCCCCAAGACTCAGGGATCATTGGATCATTGAAGAAGAAGAGTAGGACGAATGGAAGAGTCAGAGCTAGTGGAGGTCTACAGTGAAACAGTATTTTCCAGATATGACAACGTCATTGCACATGAACTCACAGCATCTAAGACTGCATAAGATGTGCAAAAGATCCAGCAAGTCAAAACCTCAGCCTTGATGTGGGAGGAGTACATGCACTTTCACCCCTCTCTGAGAACCTATTGGTAATTGATGACTGGTAGCCATATGGAAAGTTACTTTTGTACAGGAACATGGCCCATGAGAGGTAGGTTATCCATGATCTAGTAGATGGTTCTATACCTATGTACATACATTTAGAATTAAGTGAACTCATTTCATTTATTTTAGAAAAGAAGATCACATCATCTTGGAAGGGAAGAGTACTGAGGGGTGTATAGGTGTATAGGGACAGAGCTTGAGGAAAAGGAATGAAGGTGGATTTATTCAAAACATTACATGCCAACTGGAGAGATGGCTCACCAGTTAAGAACACTGATGACTTTTGCAGAGAACACAGGTTTGTCTCCCAGAACCCACATAGCAACTAACAATTGCATATAAAACCAGTTCTAGGGCATCCTGCATCTTCTTGTCTCCTCAGACATTGCACTTACATGGTGTACTTACATAAATTCAAATAAAAATAAATTGAAACAATTATATGAAATTCTCAAACAATAAGACAATAGTAGGCAGAGTATTTCTAGAAGAAATATTGTGATATTTGTATATGGATCTGCAAAGTTATAGCCCACTGGAATTTTATGTTATAGAAAATCTTGAAAATAGAGAATTAGCAAGATCATATATTAACAGCTTAAAATTTTTGAATGAAGTTTACATTTCTCATAAATATAGTTATTTGGACTTGTTAAAGGATGAGAAATTTAAAGTTATAAAGCCATTTTATAAATTATGCTGTCATAAATAAATATAATTTGCATAATTTAATTGAAAAATTACAGTAGTAACATAAGTAGAAAGTAAATACAATGATACAGACAGAAATTTATTTTAAATGACTTAGATATAGGATCTTTAGAAATATAGAAATATATACATGAAAGGGAAAACTTAGACATTATCATCAAGAGTTGGAATGGGAGAGGGATGGATATGTTATAGAAGGAGAGAATCACCCCCAAATTTAGTCGATTCCAAAGAAAATATGTCAGACATCTGTGATCGTTAATCTCTGTTATATATTTGACTGGATCTGGAATCAACTACAGTCCAACCTCTGGCCATACCCATGAAGGTCTCTCTCCATCCTATTGCTAGCCAAACCTTACTTAAAACAATTGTATCATGTTGAAATAAGAATCCATTAGTTTGAGAAATTCAGGAAAAAAATTCCATTATGTAAATTTTATTTTAAAAGATTGTCATTTTACTAGTTGAAGGAAATAAATTTATAAGTTAATACCTGTGATTGTCTCACATGTTTTAAACATTATTATCTATACTTTCCTGTCTTTTGTTTCAGTATAAAAGATTTTCTAAGTCCTAGTGTTCAGTTTACCTTAGTGTTATAATGGGAGAAATTGGATATTCACTAATAATCCTATTTTAGACAATAATAATTCAATTACTTGACTGGACTGAAGAGCAATCACATTGGATTTAAATACTTCTCTGGAAATGTCTTCTAACACCCTGCCATTGTTGTGATAACTTATGATCTATGCTTTGTTCTGCTATTAACAGTGACCTTAAGTATGCAGAATGCAGAATCCATCCATATACTACTATTTTGTGGGCACTAGGAGGGACAACTACCCCAAATTTATGCCTCACAGCCAGTTATGGTCTCTGAACTCAATTATTAAAGATTTATTTGTTTGTTTCTCAAACACTGTCCAGTGCTCTGAAACACTGTCAGAATGCAAATAGCCTCTGGATTGTGAACTTTCAAACCATAGTATCTGCAGAAAAGTAAACAATATAAAAATACAAAAAGAAAAATCCAGATTTTCATTTAGATTATAATCATGAGGCTTGAATGTGAATTACAGAAGTGATTAAGTATTAATTCTGAATCAGGATTTATTGCTTTCAGTCTGAAGTTTTTTGTTTGATGATAAATCCATTTCTACTAGGCAAATAGATTTCAAAACAGTAAGCTTAATTTTAAGTCATTTTTGCCTATCTTCTTCAATGTTTTCTTGTAATATTGAAAAAAATCTCCTCTCAAATGTTGATTTGACTTTTCCACTTTTGTTACTTCAAGAACAGATAAAACAAAATGTAATAAAACAATACAGCATCGACAACAACAGAAGGAAAACAGAGAAAACTCACAAATCCAAAATAACACAACAAAATAAACTTTCATTCCAACACAGCAAAATAAGCTTTCATTTATTAAAATGTTAAATTGAAACTGAGAAGACCAGTTATCTCTTATTTATTATCTATAATTCATTTGGTAAATAGCAACAGAAGATTTTATTCTCTCTTGTATATGTGTGTGTGGTATATGTGTGTGTGTTTATGTGTGTGGTGGTATGCACATGTATGTGCACATGTATGTGGATGTCAGAGAACAGTGTTAGGTGTCTTCCTCAATTTCTCTTCATCTTGACAGAGGGCCTTTCAGTGAACTAGGAGCTCACCAATTCAGATAGATGACCTTTCCAGCAATCCAAGGCATCTCATGTCTTCCTCAGTAGTGTAGAAAGTACAGGCCCACATCATTGCCTTCCTTTTTACATGGGTTCTGGGGATCTGAGTTCAGATCATCCTATTTACAAGATACAAGGTTTAGTGACTGAGCCATCTGTCAAGCACAGAGCTTTTATTTTTTAAATAATATTTTATTTATATTTTTAATCTGTATGAGTGTATTTGCCTGCATGTATATAAGTGCATTTTTGTCATGCAATGCCCATGGAGATAAGTAGAAGGTATCAGATCCGCTGGAACTAGAGTCTTAAGGATGGTTGTTAGCCACCTGGGAAGTACTAGGAATTAAACCCAGGTTCTCTGCAAGAGCAGCCAGTTCTCTTAACTGCTGATCCATCTTCCCAACTACAGAAGCATTATTCTTAAATACTTGTTACATACATAATTAATCCTTCAGTCCTAATTTCCCATATTTATATTAATTTATTTGACAAGCAACTGCCAAATCTTAATCTTTTAATCGGTTATTCATATCTGTAGCTTCTCAATATCACACACATTTGTCCTAGCCATCTTTTAAAATACTTTATATTAAGCATTTTCTGAAGGATGATAGACTTTATTTTCTCAGCATCAACTGTGGTAATGAAGTTCTCAATGACTATCAGATCTGAGAATAGTTATATAAATGGATAGTAAAAACAATCTTATATAATAAAAATAAATTTTAGTTTAAGTAGCAAAAATGTCTATGTATTTTCTGAGCAGCTTCTAATGGATTCAGAGTAAAGTAAAATTTCTTTCCATTTCAAGTGACTATGTCTCCTTTCCTACTAAAAGTTATCCCACTTTGACTATGTGTCTGACATGGTTCCAATAGCAACAGTCTCTGTGCTGCTTCACCCAAATGAGTCTTGCATGAGAACTGCTTCTGACATTTCCAACTCTTCTCTGCATCATTATTATAAATGTAATGACATATGTAATGTCAAATCCTATTGTACTATTTAGTTTCTTTATAATTTCTATATCTTCTTTTCTATGATAAACTTCAATACATACTGTGATGGCTGGTCCAGGTAGCCTTTATCAATTCAGTGATTAAGTGTCTATAATCCTCATTTTTCATATTTCTCAGTTTAAAAGAGATAAAGAGGCTGTATCTCACAAACCAGATTCATTTGAATTGGTTATATAACAAAAGTGGTCTGAGGTCACGTTGGCTGGGGAATGACTTCCTGTGTACAATACATGCTGCACAAGCATGAGGATGTGGACTTAGATCCAAAGCACCCTTTTGAACCTAGACTTGGTGGAATGCCTCTGCAATAACATTGCTGGGGATTCAAATGCAGGATTCCTGGTGCATGGCCATGCAGTCTCGCTGAAACAGTGAACTCAAAGTTCAGTGAGAGACAGTTTCAGGAAACAAAATGGATATTGAAAGTTATCTGACATCACCTTTTGGCTACCTCCACATATAAATGGGTGAGTACATCAACACACACACACACACACACACACACACACACACACACACACACTTATTCATACACAGCATATATAGAAAAAAATAGAGAGAGCAATATAAGAAGATACAAACATCAACCCTTTGCCTTCACAAGCATATACATGGGTGCACACATGCACAGATAAACACCACCCACATTCACCTACCCTCATACATACACAAAGATAAAACATAAGTGAAAAATGCAATAAGTAAGATTTCCTGTGAGGCCACAATTCCGAACATTTCAATATGACTTCACTCTTATGCACCAGCCGATGCTTCTTTTTCATTTTCTTACTCAAGCTTTCTAGCTTGATTGTTGTTAGCATTTTGATAAGAAATAGTGACCTGAGGATAATCTTTCTTAGAGTAAATATAATTCTACTTCTGCTCCAGTAAGAATTCTGAAGACTGAATAAGCAGATCTCAGTCCTGTAGGGGAATCATTCCATGTGAAATTGAATAGATGTTCAGATAAGTACCAAACAGAACTCCTTAGAAACTGAATTCAATATATACAAACTTGAACCTCTTCTCTGCAGCCTTACCCCACTCAATGGTAGCAGCATTTATCTGATAATGTACAAACGGTGTTCTAGAGAACATTTTTCATTTCAACACTTTTTCTTTCTTTACTGCTGCATATGGAAGCTTCAGGTTTTTATCTGAAAAAAGAGATATTGGAAACAAAATACCATATAAAACCAAACACTGGAATGTGATAACTGTTAATAAATATTAGTTCTTACTGTAAGTCTCTTCTTTCAAGTTGTAAAAAAACCTGAGCTTTTGTGTTCAAAAGCAATTCACTGTAAACTCCTAATTTAGCCAAAGGTATTTTCATTTCCTTTCTGGAGTTCAGAAAAATACACACATATACACGCACACACATGCACATGCGTGTGCCCACCTGTACACATAAACATGCATGTTTATAGGCAGACAGAGGTAATTCACAAACTTATACTGTTTATATCTAATAACTCTGGAAAGCATATGTTAGAAGATTTGTAAAATATGATATTGATGATAAAATCTAGCTTTAATATTTATTGGCAATGTGTATATTATTACTACATCTTTCTTACTCACAAGACTTCTTATGCTGTATTTTAACAATGTATTATTGAGAAGATTCTCTGACATGATTCATATTGAAAATGCAAATATAAATATTGTCACTGTACTAGAAAGAAATTGTCCTGTATGTAGTTCTTTGAGTATTTCATTTTATCTACAATATTCAGTGCAGTATCATGGCCTACTATGTGCAATGAGATGTGTATTTATCTACACACTGAAGCTTTGCCTCTAACTGGATGAATCTGAAAGGTTCAATGTAGCAGTATGCCTCTCTAGATAATGAATATAATGCCCTGTGATTTGTAGAACTGCTTTAGATTTCTGGGCAAAACTACCCTAGAAAGAGTCATCTCCTTTGAAAGTCTAGCCTATTGCTGCTATGAGCAGAAAAACAATCCATAATGAAGTAGAAAGAGTCAAAAGGTCAAGTGAGGCTGACAGTGAAAGATCCTTAGTCATCCATGTACACTTCCTGGCCAGTAAGAAAAGCTCTTATCCTGAGAGTTTAACCAGAGCTAGGGTTGTTTGTCTTCCAAGTAATGTTTGTTATGTTATTTTGTAGACATTTCAAAGTTTTTCTATAACGTACAATCCATCATGGCCACATTTCTTCTCAGTATACTGGAGTTTTAATAGATATTTTAAATAGCAGCAAATAATATGCAACTATTTGGATGTTGCAAGTAATACTAGAGTGTCGTTCTTCTGTATGTCTCACATATAACAAACATTTTTCTATAGGTTATGTTATATTATGTGATCTTAGGCTAGATCATCAAAATATCAAGGAAAACACATACTGGATACAATAAAAAAGTGTGGTGTGATGATATTATACACAGTAGAAATTATTAAATTTGCCAATCATAGGAATTTTATGACTTGCTTACAATTTTGAATTTATTGTATACATTATTCTCTTATCATTTATCAGAGCTGATAAATTTATCCTCAAAGAGAAAGATAAATAAGGAATTGATTGAAAGACAAAGAGCAAATTAAAGTGAAATACAGGAGGGATCTCATCAGAACTTAATTCCATCAAAATGGAGGACTCACTGAGAACCACACTCATATCGTACTTTGACTGAAAGCAGGTTTTCTCTGTGAAATTAGGAGATGTATAATTTCACAAATTGTATTTGAGATGAAGCTTTTCATTCTGATATCTGATCTTTCTACATCATATATGATATTGGACAAAGAGATAAAATATAAATGAGATTAGATAAGTGATTCTGAAGGGTTTTTGGTTTTGTATTGCTGCCAGCTTAAATTTGGATGAATGTCTGCTTAGCTAACATATTATCTTATGCTTTCAAGCCTACTCTACTGTATCATATTTGAAGGAAATAGGTCAAATATTTCTATGTAGTTGAATACCTTTGCATCATGTCAAATTCTACTTATTTCTTTTCTCTAGACACATCAGACTTTCCAAACAACAGTTAGCCAGCACTCATCTTTACTTTGTAAATATTTTTGTTGGTTTTGCCCTTATTTATTTACCACTTATACTAAGCCTAGGAACCTAGCAATATAATCTATTTGCTTGTGTTTGTTCACCCTATAAAACTGCCTTTTAAGGGCAAGGAACAAATAAAAAGTGTAAATCTCAAACCACTTATTGCAATGTCAGGCACCAGGAATGTGCAATAAATATGACTGGCTGACAGACTGCAGTATTGGGAGATGTGAATAAAGTCAAGGAGAATGGAAGCTGGTACCCTGACATCTCTACAGACTGACTTCACTTGGAAAAAAACTCTCTGGGTAAGGTCAGGAAATCAAGTTTCACCTGCTTAGCTCCTTGGTACTCACATTTGTATAATGCAAGGGGTATAATGCTTAATATTGATTTTACTCTGATGGTCACTTAATGAGCATAGTTATGTCTAAGTGACAGATGAGACAAGTGACCTGCCAAGGTGGCATTGGGACAAAGAAATGGAACTACTGCTAAAGTCAAACAATTACAGTGAAATATATGCACTAGGCTTTGCCAATGTTGATTTGCTGAGTCAAACTTTCGTAGTAGTAGGAAGAAAATGAACAAAGGTATCTCAGCTGTGTTCCAAAACTATTATGTCTATTACTGTCACTAGTAACACAGATCACTTTATACTGAGCAATTATCATATTAAAAAGTACTGTAGTTTCTAATATCATAGTATAGGAAAATGTATTCCCTGCATTTGGCAACATGTTTCAAATACTTTTGCCTATAAATATTGTTTGAATATTAGTTCTTTTTTTCCTTATTAAATATAACTTTTAAAATGGTGACTCTGGTAATAAACCAAAGTGTTCAGGTCTCTAATTCTTATAATAATTAAGCTTCACTTACCTAGGTGTTTATATATGAACTTGTTCTTAATGGCATTTCACTATAAACTAGAAGTATATCAGAAATATGAAAAAAAGATAAAATATTAACTTGTCTGTGAGACATTCAAACAATTTTAATTTGAATTTGCACCATTATTAGGAACTGTTTTGTATGTGGATTGAAGGTAAAATTGGCAAATAAAAGCCAAATTGAACTTAACTGAGTGATTAAATAAGTAGAAGAAATGCCTGAGGAGAACATCTTGTGAGAATTACATTTGAAACAACACTTAGCCCCAGTGGAAGTTTTCATATGAGTTGTAGTTTCCACATTTTTAGAATTCCATTTTCAAACTCACTGGACTTCAAGCTGATATCATCACTTGTATCTCTCCTTTATGCTTCAGTCATTTGCTTTAACCTGCAGCCATTTATTTAGATTATGACTTACAACAGCTGGAATAACTTCTAGGAAAATTTAATGTTTATTTTGCAAAGGGCATAAGAGCTGTTCAAATAAGGTTAAGGTTGAAATTTTTCATACATTTTCATCATCAAAAGTCTTCAAAATTAATAGGGTTCAAGCAAGCAATCTTGATGTTTGAAAAGAGTTGATATATGAAGACATCAAAGTTGGTTAAATGTACTGTTCATTGCTTACTGAAAATCCTACAGGTTGCATGCCAGAAGAGAAACTATTTGCCAGGAGTCAGAATGTCAGTTCAGTCATAATCAAAATGGTATTGCTACTGATAATAACTGGGCTGACCCAAAAAGTTCCCTGAGATGAGCAAGCATAAGTGTTTGATAAATTATGCTATAAAACATGATTTTGATTACTGAATACTTAGCAATGTACAGAAAAGACAAAAGCGTGAATGATAACAACAAAGAAACCAGTTAACAGTGGTACATACAAAAATGAACTATGCAAGCTCAAAGGCAGACAAAAACTCCAGCATGGAGTGGGGAGGTGGACATGAATTCCCACCACTAGTGGAGGAGCTCTTGACAATTTTTAGCTGCTGGTAGAGGAAGAATATGGTTTTTTTTTTCTCTCTCTGTCTTTACAGAAAAGCATACTGTACACTACTCATCAAAGAGTTTCTTCTTGCAACAGATGGAGGCACTGCAAATTCCACAACTGTTCAGACACAGAGAATATATGTTTGAGAAATACCCAGTCCTAGGTGACACATCTGCAGCTGAACATCTACAACTAAGGCTCCTGGAGCATAGTGAAGTAAGAAGGAGAGAGAAAACCAGTGCATCTCTCAACTCTCACCAGGATGCTTCCTTATGTGACGGAGGGCAATGCACACAGAAGGCCACAAATGGCCATGTTTTAAAGAATAAGAGACTGCATGGAGTGTTACCCTGGATAGGACTCCTTTATTGAACCTCACCTACTCAAGAGTCATTGCGGAAGAGGGGGCAGAAAGATAGTTACAAACTGGGCCTGGTTCATGAACACAGGGAAGCAGAGGTTTTCAGACCACTGGAAACTTGCACATGTGAACTTGTGGTAACAGTGGCATCAAGTACAGGACCCATGCCAACTCAATCAGTCAAGGACCCAGAGTGGAGTGAGGGAAGTGGTCAGCACCCTGGGCACTGGTGGAGACTGGTTACTACTGGGTGAGGAGGAGTATACTTTACTTACTGTCTCTAGATAGACTGACTAGACTCCAGTGGATGAATTTGCACTGAAGGACATCTGGGTGCCAATACTTGACTGGATAGGAATAAACATGTATAGTAGAATATATGAGATTGGGGTTGGGGGGCATAAATGGGGAAGGGGTTCTAAATTTGATTAAGAACTTTTGTATAAAATGTACAAAATCTCAATAAATTTTTTTTAAAGCTTAAGAAGTCAGTGAGAAAATGTTCATAGCAACAAAAATGCCTGCAGAATATTCATGCATTCATTATCTCTCTATACCCACCACTCATTTTTGTTCTTGTACTGATTTGATGCACACACACATACATTCATTTATATATAATGGAGTTGGCTGGAAATATGAGCAAAAGCTAGGGAAGTATACGATTTTTATAGTATATTGAGAAAGAGTGATGCTACGTATTCTAAGCTGTCCTTAAACTCTAATCCTCCTCCCATTAATAAAGGATATTAGTAAATAGAAATCATGAAAATAATTAAATTATATATTTATCGCATGCATACATATGTTCTGTTATAGATATACTTTTGATACAAAGAAATTATAAATATATTAAATTAAAAATATGGAAAATATGTACTGTATGAAGATTAAAAATGTCGTTAAAGATGTAATAATATCAGAAAAAGACTATGATAAGAACAGTGCCAATTTTAAAAAGAGATATTTTTAATAATGGAGACTTCCAACCCGTTAAGATATGTAATAATTATATATACTGTACAGTTATATCCCTATTGCTGTGATAGAAATACCACGACCAAGGGGACTTATAGAAAGAAAATCATTTCTATTCTAGTCTGTCTTCAATTGCTGTGACAAAATACTCTGCCCAATACCAACTTGGGGAGGAAGGAAAAGGTTTATTTGGCTAACAACTCCCTAGTCACAGTTCATCAAGGAGCCCAAGAGAGAAGAGTGCTTCCTCTCTTGGTCCATGCTCAACATGCTTTCTTATACAATACAAAACAAACTGCCCAGGAGTGGCACCACCCACAGTGGGCTGGGCCTTCCCACATCACTCAACAATCAAGAAAATGCCCTAGAGATAACGCCCCAGGCCACTCCAATAGAGGAAATTCTCCAGTTGAGGCTCCTTCTAGCCAAGTGTGTCAAGTTGACAACTAAAACTATTCAGCACAATTATGTATATATGTGTATATACACACACATGCCTTATAAAGTCTAAAAATAATTAAGATAATTTTGTAGACTTGAAGAAATAGACAATTACTCAGTAATTAAAGACAACATTATACAATGTTCAATAACAGATTACAAATAACAATGAAGGAAAAAACAAAAAAACAAAACAAAAAAATCAGATCTTGTGGCACACACCTTTTTAATCCCAGCACCAGGGAAACAGAGGCAGGCAAAATCTCCATGAGATCAAATCCAGCCTGGTGTACATAGTGTGTTCCAGGGGGCTTTAGCTAAAGGGAGACCCTGTCAAAAAGAGATTTAAGACATAGATGAGATTTAAGACATAGATGTAAAATACCCCACCTCCAACAACAAATGAATGTTCTCCAGAAAAGCTGTGGTACACATAAAATAGGCTTTACTCAAAGGAAAAAAGAGAGTTAAATTATACACATCATGCTTTTAAGTAGAAAATCTGACATTTTATATTGGTATCAGATGTAAATTATCAGTAATTAGAAAGTAATTCATGATGAACATGCAAACACAAGGTACTGAACTGTCCAAAATGTATTAAATTAGATATGAGAGGCATATTAATTCATAGTTGTAGTTGTTTGGATGAGAATGTTCCTGATAGGCTTCAAGTATTTGAAATACTTGTCCCCAGTCAGTTGTAAGTTTTGATGTGACCTTTGGTAGAGGAAGCATGTCACTGTCATGGGAGGGGATTGCAATGGTTGCAGAGTTCTCATCCTTGCCCTATTTACAGTTTTGTTCTGTTTCTTGTACCTGCTTACAGATGTGATTGCTCAGCTTTCTGCTTCATCGACCCCTGCCACCATGTCTCCCTGCCATGATGGATTCTTATCCCACTGGAATTTTAAACAAAATAAACTCTTCCTTCTATAAGGTATTTTGGTTATGATGTTTTATCACAGCAGCAGAAATATAAGTAACACAGAAGTTTCTACTAGAAAGTGGGTAGTTGTTGCAAAGAACTTCATCACCTTGCTTTTTGGAGGAATGTGGAAGACTTTGGAAGTTTATAGTAGAAAACTGGTTGAATGCTATAAATAGAGCTTGACAGATTATTGTAGTGGGGACCAGGTTCAAGATATTCCAGAAAGAGAAATAAGGAACTAAACAGCAACTGGGATATTTTCACAAAAGAATCTGGCTGCTTTTGCCTGAGGCCTAACAACTTGGTGAAGACTAAATTTAAAAGTAATGGACTAATTGTTTTGGCAAAGAAAATATCAAGGGAACTTGAATTCAAATATGTTTGGTGTGGCCATTAATGGTGAATGCCATATATAGATAGCTACAATGAAAACCAAAAATTGGAGTATATAAAAATACAGTATGTAATTTGGATAGAAAAAGTGTACAAGGAAGTTTAATAATGTTGCAGCTTATAACTGGAAGTTCCTTCAACCACTATGATACAAGGTGTAGTCCCACCTCCTTCTTACACTCAGTGGAAGGAGTCAAGTAGGTAGAAGCCAGTTACCTCTCCCACCTAATCAGTTCACAGTAGCTTCATGAAGGGGAGGGGCTAAGGATATATGAGCCAAGAAAGCCAGGAGGCAGGTCTCTTGTCATTTTGTTTGGCTGTTGGGAAGCCACAGGATTTATGTTTTGGTGTAGACATTCCAGAACAGCTATGAATGGGGGAGAGCCCACTCTTCTGTAAGAAAAGCAGCAACCCAAGCTCAGTTAGCAAGTCCAATAACCTGTTAGGCTATTCAAAACAGTGTTTTGGGAGAATTCTTGTCTCAGGTTGTCATAAGGACATTGTGAGGATATAACCAGACACCATGCGTGCCTCCCAGCAGTGAATTTGACTTTACAATTGGCATAGCTGCCAAAACTGAGAATGAGTTTTGGAAGAGCAATGACAATGTCCCTGATATGTGGAAAGAGACCAACAACCAAAGTAAAGTGGGGTGAGAGGAGAGTGTGGGCTGAGGATATGTAAAACTGATGGACCATCCCTATTGGTTTACTGGGTGTAGCCTCAGTGGTATGGTTGATACAGTGGACAGTTAGATATTTAGCTAGGTTGAGGCCACCAAAACCAATGAGGTCAAGGGGAGAAATCCTGGGGTGACAGCTGTCTTGTTGATGGTACAGGGTGGCATGGCTGCTTAACCAGTGGGGTCTGCCACATGAGTATGGAGATGCCTTGAAGACAGCAGAAAGTTTAAAACAGATTTCACAAGCTGTGGGAGTAGCACACCAGGGACAGAAATGTCAACAAGCTGCTGCAGAGGTCCCCTTGCTGCTGCTCTTGGTAATAAGAAATCTGTCCCAAGAAAAAGCCTTAGCCAGGAGGGAAACTGAAAATGTTAGAGAGGAATTAGAACAAGAGAAGGATATGAAGCTGGCCTCATCAGTACTGGCTTCTGACCTTGGCGGTGAGTTAGATAAAGGAGAAAAGGACATGGAGGTGTTGGTGTGCCATTTTTTACATCTAGGAGGTCAAAAGGGAAAAAATGTCCAGATCAGAATGATAATAGATGGCCCATACTGGGACCCGAGACCATGGAAACCCTGGGAAGAGTCGGATAGTGATGAAGGAAGTGACCTAGAGAGAGTAGGTTTGGGAGATGCCCCTTGGGTCTGACCTTTAATACAAAGAAAAGGAAAATTGATGGTTCAGCATATTGATGGAGGTTTTAATAATAGCCTGGTGTAGGAGACCATGGTAATCAGAGAATACTCAGCACTGGAGCTGTTAGAACTAGGAAAGACTTTTAAAAAGAAATGAAGGAGCCCATAGCCACCTGGCATATGAGGCTATGGGGCATGGGGGTAGATGGAATCATTTTAAGTCCCACAGAAGCAGAGAGGTTAAGCAGCCTATCCCTCTTTGAGACAAAGACTTCACAATGGCAATATGAGGGAAATCAGTCCACGATGGATTGGTTCATTCAGCCATTAGGGACACGTGGTCATCCCCAGCTGCAATTTCCATGAATACCAGAGAAAGGAAAACCATAGAGGAAGGACAGGCCCTGTTGAGGGAACTGGGTATGAGGGAAGCCAGTTCACAGGTGCAGACAGGACAGTTTGCACAGGACACTTAAGAAAGAAACATCAAGCAAGGTCCATGAGACTGGTATGGAACTTTGGTGGCAGTGCTAAGCCCCATGGTTGGGCATGACCTATTAGAAGCCAGAGAGGCCTTAGTGGATTTAAATGATTTAGACCAACATGTAAACAGTTTAAAATGTGCTAAAGCAAGTAGACACAAGGGAAATGGGCTGGAAT